CCTGTGCCTGCTCCTCCAGCCCACTGGGCGGGAGAGCCTCGGAGGAGATCTCGGGGCTTCCCAGAGGCCTGGAGCTGAAGCACTGGAATGTTTGACTGGTCATCTGGGAACCAGAAAGCTTCAGACACTGGAGTATTTCCCCGCTGGAGGAGCAGGGATCGGGACACACAGAAACAGAACTGAAGGGGAGGAGCAGGCAGCCTTGAGGACACAAGTCAGCCCCAAAGTCCCGTTACTTCTGGGGCAGCCAAAAAGTGGGTGGGACCCTTGGTGCCCACGGTGGGCTGAGGCTTGGGCAGAAAAGGAAAGAAGATGAATAGGGAGAAAAAAAGAAAAAAAAAAGGGAAAGAGGAAGAAAGGATTGAACAAGAAATGTGCAGGGGGTAGAGAATGTCCCTGCATTTCTCAGAAATCTCCCAGAGACGTGGCAGTGGTCTTGGGCAGAGGCTTTTGTGCACATACACATTAATATATTATGTATATATCTTTTTCTCTTTTAATCTGGGGACCACGGTGGCAGAGAAAAGGCCTTTGCCAGTGTCCAGGCTCACTTTCTTCTATTTGCCAACAAACAATCAGGCGTCTCTGGAATGTGTCGAGAGGTGAAGAACTTTTGATGAGGTTAAGTTTCTTTTTTTTTTTTTTTAGGTGCAATTATAAGAAAATCAAAAACCGCTGTCATTGGGAAGCTGACATTTTAGTGGAGAGATGGAATAAAGAAGGCAAACAAGGCAACCATAAGGAATGCAGGGGAAAGTAAGAAAAGGGGCCAGCGAGTGCCGGGGAGGTGGTGCGGTTTGGTGGCGGCAGACTCTGGAGACTTCCTGCAGAGAGGACGTGAGGGAGAAAGAGAACAACCCGGCAGATATTCGGGGCACTGGGCAGAAGAGTTTGTGGAGAGGAGTGGGCAGCTGCAGCGGCTCTGAGCTGGGCGGGGGCCTGCTGGGGGCTAGGGGGCCTCGTGGCTGGGAACAGAGTGACGCGGCTGTGCGCAGGGTGGGCGCTGCTCAAAGCAGCAGCAGCAGCAGCAGCAGTAGCGACAACCCCAACAGGACACCGTGAGGCGGAAGGACTGTGGGAAGAGCAGACCTGTAAGGGGGGCGACAGCTGTGTGAGGTTGCAGATGCCTTGTAGACACTCACATGGAGCTGGTAGCTAGACGTACAAGTCCGGAGTTTAGGGGGAAGGTCTGGGCCCAAGGTATAGATGCTAAGGTCTCCAGTGTTCAGACAGTGTTTCAACTGTGAGGCTGAGCGAGGTCACCAGGGGCAGGTCTCGGTGGAGAATGAAAAGGGCCGTGGATGAGCCTGGGACCCGCCAACATCGAGAGGTTGGGGAGGTGAAGAGTTCGGCAAATGTGACTAAGAGGAAGTGGCCAAAAAGTAGGACAAAAGTCAGGAGAGGGTAGTGTCTTGACAGCCCAGGGAAGGGTGTGATTTCAGGAGGAGGAGCGAGGAACTTGGTCTACTGTGGTCAGTCGTCAAAGGAGACGAGTAAGAACTGACCATGGATGGCGCCGGGCGGGTCGGATGGCGACTTTGCAGGGCAGTGGCAGTAGAAGCCTTGGGCAGGAGAGGAGGGAAACCAGGCCAGTCCCGGCACCTGTTCAGGCCGCCTGCTGTGAAGGGAAACAGAAGCTGGGCGGAGAACAGGGAGGTGGTGGACTCACAGGTTTCCATTTTCTTTTCCATGGGAGAAATGATACTGTGTGTGAGTGTGGAACCATGTGTGTGAGTGTGAGAGTGTGAGTGTGTATGTGTGTGTGTGAGTGTGCACGTGTGTGAGAGTATTGTGTGCATGTGCATGTGTGAGTGTGTGCATGTGTGAGTGTGCATGCATGTGTGTGTATGTCTACATGTGAGTATGTATGGATGTGTGTGCATGGGTGAGTGTGTGTCTGTGTGTAAGAGTGTGAGTCTACATGTGAGTGTGAATGTGTGAGTGTGTGCAGGTATGTGTGTGCATGTGTGAGTGTTTCTGTGTGTAAGAGTGTGAGTCTACATGTGAGTGTGAGTGTGAATGTGTGTGGGTATGTGTGTGCAGGTATGTGTGTGCATGTGTGAGTGTGTTTCTGTGTGTAAGAGTATGAGTCTACATGTGAGTGTGAATGTGTGTGGGTATGTGTGTGAGTGTGTGCAGGTATGTGTGTGCATGTGTGAGTGTGTTTCTGTGTGTAAGAGTGTGAGTCTACATGTGAGTGTGAATGTGTGTGGGTATGTGTGTGAGTGTGTGCAGGTATGTGTGTGCATGTGTGAGTGTGTTTCTGTGTGTAAGAGTGTGAGTCTACATGTGAGTGTGAGTGTGACTGTGGGTATGTGTGCGTGTGTGAGTGGGCATGCATATGTGTGTCTACATGTGAGTGGGACTGTGTGTGGGTATGTGTGTGCGTGTGTGAGAATGTGTGCAGGTATGTGTGTGCATGTGCGTTTCTGTGTGTGTGTGATAGTATGTGTCTACATGCGAGTGTGTGACTGTGTGTGTGAGCGTGCCCGTATGCGAGTGAGTGCGGGGAGGGAGGGAGGACTGGGCCGGAGGGTGAGAAGGGCGGGCCAGGCAGTCGCGAGTGCCCCCTCTCTTGCACAAGGGGCAGGGATCTAGCGCCCAGCCGGGAGAGGGCCAAAAGAATGGGCCCCTTCTGACAACCTTCTCACACAGGCTGGGCGCAGGGGCTCTGTGCAGGTAGTCACCACACGGCTGGGCGCCTGTCACCCGGCCCGGCGCGGTTTCAAGTGCGCTCAATTTCACTGCAGCGACACGGGTGGACGAAGCCTTGGGGCGCATTCATGAAGCTCCCGCGGAGAGCCTGGTGCCTCCTCAGAGCTCAGTCCCTTGCGTTCCCGGGCTAGGGGCGCTGGGGCAGCGCCGGGGCGCAGCGTTCCCCGCGGTCCGGCCTGCGCCACCGCACCGCCCGGCGCTTGGCAGCAGCAGCGGCGCGTGGCCAAGGCTAGCTCAGGATTCCTGGCGAGCTGGGCTCGGGTGGGGAGCTAGCACCGCAGTCCCCGCGCCCTCCCCTGCGCCCCCGCCTGGCGCAGCGCACCCCTGGGTGCTCAGGAAGACAGGCCCAGGGTCCAAGGTGGCCAGGGGTACGCTGCAGGAGGTGACATCCTTGGCTTCAGCCGCTTTCCTCCCTGTTGCTACCCTCCGGGCTGCGGGATGGCTCTGGTCCGGGTCCCCACCCGCACTCTCCGCGGTGCGAGGCTGAGCGCAGCTGCCTCTGCGCTTTCCAGCATTGCTGGGGCTAGGAAAGACCTCCGTGTGTGTTGGGGAGGAGGGAAAGGTCAGGCCTTTGGCATCTTAAGGGTGGTCGTTTGGGTCAGACACCCGCACCGAGGCGAGGGCGCGAGTCCCGGCGCTGGAGGAGCGCCCCGGGCGCTGGCTGCGTCCCCGCGGACACGGTGGTCCCCGCGCCCGGGCATCCATCCATTCATTGCGAGCGGCCCTAAGCTCCAACCGAATCTATGAATGAGAAGAGGAAAGAGAACCAACGTCTGTTTCCACACCCCGCTTCCCCGCCCCCTGCCTCCCTCCAGGCAGAGCGAGCCGACACGAAGTGACAAGGGCGGGGGCGGAGGGGCGCTGCGGGGACGTGCGAGAGGGCTCCCGAGTCTGGCTGGAGACTGCACTATTTATATACTCCAGCGCTCCAGGACAAAGGGGGCAGATCCGAGTCACCTCCCCCCCATCCCCAGCTCCTCCCGGGCCCCTCCCTCGATGGCTTTGATTTCATTACCGCCCCCCCCCGCCCCCCGCGCGCTACGAGGGCGGGCTGGCAGGTGCGGGGGTGGGAGCCGTCTCCGCGGGAGCAGCCTCGCCAAAGGTCTGGCTGCTGACGTCCGAGCGCCCGCTCCTGTCAATGAACGGCAGCGGCAGCCTGGGGCCCGTGCTGGCAACGAGGCTACAGACGTCACCGCCTCCTGTTGGGCGCGGGGGGGTCCGAGCAGCAGCGCCGGCTTAAAGGGAAACTCTCTAAGTTGCAGGCAGCCGGGGAGAGTCTTCCTGAGAGCACATGCACCCCCAAATGTCAAGTGCACGCGGGCGCACACACACGCGCGCGCGCAGGGCCGCTCACACACGTCCTCTCCGTGGGTGCGCGAGCCCAAAGTTGCTGGGCTGTGTGGACGGGTCTCCACCGGCGCCCCGCGCGCTCCGCGCGGCTTTCCCGGAGACTCCCAGATGGAAAGCAGGGAGAGGAACAGCACGCTCCGCTCTGTTCTCGGTGGTCTCCCCTGTAGCCAAAAGATCAGCGGGAAGCCCAGGGTGCAAGAAGCCTTTGGATACTCCTGCTGGCGGAGCGGCTGCCAGCGTGGACGGTCCTGAACTTGGGCCACCAGGCTCGCGTGGCAACTTGTTTTGCGCAGTTCCCGAAGGGGCCCTGGACCCCGGGCTACCTAAGGCGCCTGGCCCTTTTCTCTTCCTCTTTCTCTCTCGCTTGAATTTGTGAGCTGGAAACGGAGGCAGAGATGCGCTTCAGCATACTTCGGCGGGTAAGTTGACAGTTCCTTTTACCTATTATTTAACCCTTGAGAGTCCAGCAAAACTTAATTCCAGACCTTTTCCTACTCCCCCCCCCCCAAAAACGTCCCATCACTTCCCTCCGTCCTTTTTGGCAATAAGGAAACCTGCGTACTTGTGTGTGTGAGATGTGTTGTTCGTGGGCATGACAGTCGTGGGGAAGGGGTGATGAGTGGAAACCAGAAAGAAGAAACTGGAGTTTGTAAAGCCAGAGCGCTCAAGGGTCTGCAGAGGAGAGAGAGAGACTGCAGTCAGCCCCGGTGCCGGTGCCCAGTGGCAGCCTCAGGGCTGACGCTGGGTCTGAGTCTCTGAGCCCCAAGTTCCCTCCCGGCCAGGGCTGCGCGCCAGCTGCAAGCCGCAGCGTCCGCCGCGCCAGACCCGCAGGTGCCCCCAGAGGCGGCCGGAGAAGGGCTGGCGAGCTCCACGACTCCCTCCCTCCGCGCCTGCCGCCCTGCTCGCGTGCTCGGTGGGCACTGGTCCCCTCTTTTCATCGCTGCCTCTGCCGCCACTCTCCGGTGTCCCCCCCACCGCCCCCAGCCTCTTTCGCTAAAGACCCCGTGATGTCACAGGGCAGGCGGGGGTCGGAGCCCCTAGCACCTGAGAGCGTCGCTGCATCGCGTTCTGCAGCATTCTCTCTTCTTCATGCCACCCACTTTTCCTTGCGGTCCATTGAAAACACACTCCCACCAAACACTGCTCACCCGGCTGCCCCCGCCCCGGCCAGAAGACACCACTCCTTCACAGCGCGCGCACCCCCAGCCCCCTCCCAGATTAGGGAGAAATCAGCCGGATGCCTAAGGAGCCTCTCCTCTCTGTTTTCAATCCTCCTCCCCTCTCAGCGTACCCTCCTAGTTGAAGGAAAAAGAGGAAGGAGGAAGGGGGAGGGAGAGAGGGAGAGGGGGAACCTGGGCGCACAGGCTCCTAGACGTGGGGCTGCACCGGTGGAACCGACCGGGATTTCTGCGCGGAGTCCCTGCCTCCCCTGCCTTTCCTGCCACCGCAAGTCCCTTCTCCTCTTTAGGCAGCATTTTTTTCCACCTCCCTCTCTGGTCTCTTCTCCCCACCCCTTTTGTCGCTGCCACCTAACCCCACCTTCACTCTCCTCTCCGAGGGGGGAGGGCCGGGGGTGGGGAAAGAAAACCCCCAAATCCCAGCCCCGGGCAGAGATGTCGAAGAAACGCAAAGCCCTGGAGGGTGGAGGAGGTGGCGGCTCCCGGCTCCCAGAGGAGGAACCCACTGCCTGGTTTGGGGACGGCAGCGAGGAGCAAGGTAGGGGCGGGGAGGGGGAGGAGAGAGGAGAAGCAGCACACGCAGGGAAGCGCTTGGGAGTTGAGATCCATCCTCAGGGACGCCCCAGCCAGCCTTCCCCAGAGCGCCCGGTGGCAAGGCAACTTGAGTAGATGGTTTCCCCCCACAGATGGGGTTTTGCGTGTTTCTGCAGGACACGGGCAGTGGGTGGGAATGAGCTGGTGTGTCGGGTGCTGGAGACCCAGACACGGTTGGCCCTGAAGCTGTCGTGGGTGGGGGGAGGGGGCTGGGGTGGCTTGGGAGAAGTGGCTGGAGGAGGCCAGGAGGCACTGGCCGGGCACTGCTGGCCGCGTCTCCTCCCTGGCTGCCTTGCTGCTGTGTGCTCTGGTGTGGACAGGCTGTGCTCTGGAGGCACAGCCTGTGTTCACGTCTGTGTGTCGTGTTGGGCACTTGCGTCAGGAGGGCAGGGGGTCCAGCGCTGCCCCCCTGGCGTTTGTGGCCGATGAGGGACAGCAGGGAGAGGCATTTCCTTCCTCCATGCTGCTCCGATCCGGGGATGCTAAGGGTCACGTCATGTGGGATCTTCGTCGTCCCCTCCACAGGCAGGGCCCTCTGCCTCCTGAAGTTGGAGGTGAGGCTCCAGGCAAAGGGGGTGACGAGCTGTGATGCCGAGGGGAGATGTGGTGCAGGAAGCAGCTGGTGCTTCTTTGCCTACAACAGCACCAAAGAAAGAGTGGAGATGGAAAATTTCCTATGGAAACAAAAGTGATACTTGGGTATCTGATCTCCACATACAAGAAAGCCAGGCAGGCACCTTTTATTTCACTTAAAGCATTCTGGATTTGGTTAAAAGTAGGCCCAAATGAACTAGGCAAGCTTTTCTCTGAGCTGTAGATAAAACACGAAGGGAGAAAGGAGCCAGATGTGTCACTGCAGGTTGAGCTGTGGCCATGGGGGGGGAGGCGCGTGGGGAGGAGTCTGAGCCCAGGTGGGTGGAGAGGGAGGGGGCTGTCGGTAGGGCTGCTGTCCTTTCTGCAGCCCAGCCTTGGGGCCAGGGGCCTGGCAGGTGCCCATCTGGGCAGAGCATCGGAGAGATGGGCTCACGTCTCCAAAGCACAGTCGGTGGCTCTTCTCCTTTGACGTCACAAGAAACACAAAGTCACAAAAGTCCTCCCCGTACAGGAAACACGAATCCTTGTGTGCACTCAGAACCTTTTGGGTGTCTTGCGTGCATTTTAGAACAAAGGACTGGCTTGGGCTACCCCTGGACCGGGCATTTGGGTTTTGCTAGAAATAGTTGGGAGCAGTGCTGCCTGCTTGCCTCGAAAGAGGAGGTATTTTAGTGCCTGCCCATGTTTTGACTTTCTTTGCTTAGTTATGACTTTAGAGCAAAAGTCAGGGCATTTCTTAAGTTAATCTGAAATGAAATTAATGAAAAGAATGGTGTTTGGTAAGGAATTCAAATATTGCAGATGACTTTTCTGTATGGTTGGTATTTTTCCATATTTGGGGGGAGTAATTTGATGTCGCCATGAGTGCCTGGCAAATTCATCAGCTCTGTACGCGGCATTTGGCTTTGACCTCAGGTTGCTCTATAAAGGTACATACCCTTTTCTTTTGGTTAAGAACTGAAGTCCATGGAAACTGAAATCATTATTATGGTAAATAACAACCTGGATACATTTTATGCTATTTTAATAATTAACAAATATATGACTGCCAGTTACAAAAAAAGAGAAAAGAAATAAGAATTGTATTTTAGAAAACATTCTTCATCCTTTTTGTGGTAATATTTGGTATTAAATTTTTTAAAGATAAGCTATGCCATACAGGGTCCGCCCTACCATAGCAAACAATTCCCGCATCCCCCAGGCAATAGGAGTCCGTGGAGAGTATTTTGCAAGTCAGAGCAGGCAACGGTAAGTACCTATGTCCATATTATTCAGAGATTATCGTAATTTTGAAATGATTTGTTATACAAATTGTTCCTTTTTTTAGAGTTTAAAAATGTCTCAAGATTTGATTATATCTTTCGCATTTGGCAAATAAAAATGCTACTTAGTAATTGAAAATGCGTAACTGCAGAAGCCATTAAGGGAGTGAGCGCTCAACTACCGTGCTGTTGTGAGTTACTTCTTTGGGTTGTGGGAAGCCTGGCGCCTGTCTAAAGCTGCAGGGCACACCTGCATGCACGTGGCACACGTGTGGGGCACACGGCCGTGTGGCCGTGTAGCCGTGCACACTCCAACAGTGGAGGGAGGACAAGTGGACACTAGTGTTGGCAGCTGGTTGTGACGCCCGAGCCCTTACCCATGGTTAAGAAACTGCAGCTCCTCTGTCTCTCAGGCTCAGTGTGATCATTCTTTTCACCTCTGGGGCTCTAAGCCAAATTTGACGCTATGCACACTGAAGACCAGAGAGAAGTACCGTGTTTCCCTGAAAATAGGACAGGGTCTTATATTTAATTTTTCCTCAAGAAGACACCCTAGGGCTTATTTTCAGGGGATGCGTTATTATTTATTTTTTTTTAAGTGCAGTACAACAATCTACATTTATTCAAGTATAGTTAAGTTGTCTTCTTCTGGAACATCATCATAACTCTCCGAAGCCCGAATTCCATCCTGAATTTCTTGCGACTCTATTTCCTTTAGAACCATCGGGCCCAATCTCTCATGTGGAGCACTAGAGCTCTCACGGGGCAGATGAGAAGGGCTCCTCATCTTCTTTCCTGCTCTGAGACGAAATGCACGGGTTGTGCAGATGCGCTGTGTAGCCACGCCCGTCACTTGGTCTTAGTTTTGGTGTAGGGCTTCTATTGCACAAATGCTTAGAAATCCTGCTAGGGCTTATTTTATGAGTAGCTCTTATTTTCGGGGAAACATGGTATATACGTCGGTCTTGCTGACCTTGAGTTCCAAAGGAGTCTTCTTTTAAGTTCCAACAACTTGGAAGGCCTATGTGTTTCTTCATTTCAATCACCGAGAGTACAATATGCATGTATTAAATTAAGGCTATTGGAAATTACGTTTCAGTTGTAGTCATTGATTTTTTCAGACTTCCTGTCAGCAGGTTGGTTTGACCTGAAGTTTTAAGTAGGCGATAGGCACGTGGGCTGCCTGGAGAGGAGTGTGGTGGGATTTTTGAACATAAGAACCCAAACCCACTGTTCCTAGGCAGGTCCTCACCTGCCGCCAATCCATGCCATGGCTGGTAGGTGTTCATTTCAGGTCCCGTGCCGGGATTTCATGCCTATCATGTTCTAATGGCACCTGTCTTGTTAACAGTTTCTCTTCAGGAGATTCCTTATGGGGATGAAGGTAGGATAGTAAATGGGTCATCATGCACACACTTGGACTATTTTGGTTTTGTCCCTGACCTTAATAGATCCATCCCATTTTATTTAGCTGGGTAAAAGGAAAAATGCAGTGCAATATCCTAGCTTTGACTGAATGTAGCTTTGGATGTCCATTGACATGTGTGCACATGTGCGTTTGTGTGCATTCCTATAAAATCGCGAACAGAATGTGGTCCTCTTGTGGGTCCCAGCTGGCTCCGTGTCCAATACGTGTGAAGACTATACTGATGGAAGATATTTGCATAAAATGTTAAACTTATAAAAAGATCTTTCCTTTACAACTTAGAGAAATTTGGTATGCAAATGGGCAATGCTAGCCACAGTTTTCGTTTTGTTTTGTTTCTGCATTTCTTCATTGTTTTGGACTTAGACTTAAGAGTTTGTTCTGATGTTCATTTAACTATAAAGATAATGGATATGTCGAAAGTATGGGGGAGGGGTCTGTGATGAAAACACTAAATAACTGTATGTATTGACCTAATAATAAGGTACTTCTAATTTTTTCCATTCTCTTCATATTCTTTTTATCGGTCTCTTTTCAAATAATTATTTACTTAAAAACTTTGGTTTAATCACAAGGCATCTCATTAGGTACTGTACGCTGAGTGACGTTAAACCCTATTTTCCCACAGGTGTACTCTAGTTGGAGCTCTTACCCTGGGGGCTCTTTGCAATCCCTCTCCACCCTTCCCTCCCCCCACCGGCTGCAATTGGTCTACATTGCTTTGTCTTCTAGTTTTAACCACCAGTTCTTTTAAGATCGTTTTAGGATGGGAAATAATGTCAATTGCGTATTTTTACATTAAATTAATCTGTAAGTGTTTTAAAAATAAGTAGTTTCTATTTTTGATGAAATCAGTTAAGACCCTCCCCAGGCCAGTTTTCTGAGTTCTTGCAATTCCAGTGTTTAAAGTCATCTAATTGAGAGCCTCTGGCACTAAATGGATCTAGGGGAGGTTTGGACGCGACCTACTCATATTTTGCATTTTCTGAATTTCTTGAGCCACAGTGGAACTGTCTATGGGTAGCTATTATGTTATCTGGTGGATCGATGACTGAAGTCAGTGTGTGGTTTCCTATAACTGTGTACCACTCTGATACCAGAATGACACCTGAGTTGTGTGGCTTTCCTGCATCTTTGGTGGGTGGTTGGCTTTGGGACGGGGGTTGTGGGAGGTAGCACCAATTCTGTGCCTCTAAAACTAGTTAAAAGTGAACATGTAGATTGGTAACTGACCTACCTCTACCTAACCCCCTAAAATCAGCTGGATTGATCTTTCCAACAGATTAATGCTTCTAATAGAATTGATCAGATTGACTTTTTAAAAATATATTATGAGAAAAATCTCTTAAAGGGTGATTTATAATCATTAACATTACAGAACAGCCATGACCCTTGGAAGAAGAGATCGATGTCAAAGAAAACAAACAATCACACGTGCTACAGAAGTTTGATGGCAAAGACAGTTATCATTCAGATTTTGTTTTTTAGTGGCTCCACACCACAAGGGCCATGGCCATGCTGTGGGCCAGGGAAGGGGACAGAGAGAGGGGTTTGGGGGTAAAGCAGTACAGGAACGCAGGGTGGGACGGAGGTGTTAGTGCTCACTCTTGGGCCTGACCCGCTTTCTGATTCAAGCCAGAAAGGAAATTATGGCTAACGGGC